AAAAAAATTAAAAATTAAAAAGAAAAAGAAAAGGCTGTGTCCAGCAATTGAGTAATAGAGATCTGAGGGACCATATGCAAAACTACCAGGATCTTTTGAAAATACTGGGTCTTTCTGGGGTGCTAATCTGTGGTGGAACCAGGTGGGAGAATCCTATATCCCTTTAAGAGACTGTGGGTATCTGAGGCCAGGATCATAAACAATATCAATTTCTTTTTACTTAGAGGCCTCTTTAAGTATCATAGCCCTTGGATCTTTTCAAAGATAAAGGGCAATAAAAGCCTGAATATAAGGGATTTTGCACAACTTTCCTTGCCTTTTTCAAAAAATATCTAACTGAAGAATAGTATCATAAGATAGACTGGCATTCTGCATCTATCTCTTTGCATTTCCTTGTTCATGCAGGACACAAACAGCATTGTGTGAGGCTTATGAAAAGAGAGAGAAGACTAGGTCTGGGGTCCTTCAGAGGTCATCATTTGCAGAAGGAGGAGACCCACTGAATCCCAGAAGCATCATTTGGGAGCCTCACATACTATTAGCTAGATATTTCCAGCCGAAGAGGCACTGGTCTTTCCCTAGACCCTTGCATAACCTGCAACTCACCATAACTCACCCAAGTTCAAAATTCTATCCAATTTTGGGGGGGTATCGGGGATTGAACTCGGGACCTTGTGCTTGCAAGGCAGGCAGCAGAACCATTGAGCTAAATCCTGGGCCCTCTTTCCAATTTTTAAGGATACACCTAGCAGTGAGGTGTCTAGGATCTGTAGGCTGTTTTCTGTGGCACATTATGTGGCCTATGGAGAAGTCTAGGTCTGGGGTTCTTCAAATGCTGTCCCCCGCAGAAGGAGGCAGACCCATGGAATATCCAAGGCATTTCTTGTGAAACTCAAGTAGTACTAATCAGCCTTCTCCAGACACAGCAGCACTGGTGCCTTTTTTTCTGTTAGAAAAGCTGTGACCTACCATGACTCTTTAAAGAGAAAAGTGGAGCCCCATCCCAAAGGTTCCATTCAGCCACTTGAGAACCAATATCCCTTACATTTATCTCACTATTGACAACTTTGGCATTAAGCTAGTACAGATAGAAATCTCTTTTTCAGCACTTAAGGAAAAAAAACCTGAAGAAAGAAACCTTAGAAAGTTCTAAGCACAAGCCTAGGGTTTGTAATGTACTGACTCCACTTCTAATTTTGCATATTCGTAGCTGCTTGAGTTGACCATTATTGGTTGTTTAGGCCCTCAAGTGCATATTTTTGAATTTCTGTTAGAAAAAATATGGAAGAGACCTTACCTTATTCAGAGGAGAAGAGGGGAGGAGTTCTGTATATTTCCTGAAAGTGGAGGCTTTAACTGCTTATGTATAAGGGTGAGATTTCCTAGTGTTCATGAGCTGTTGAAAAAGAAAATAATGAGTAAACATGGTGGGATCATGTGATAGACTCATACGGTGAACCAAAATTGCCATCAAACAAGGCTGAACCATATGGTTAATCCAAATAATGGAAGCAAAATGGCCACTGACCATGTGCCTGACTCACAGGAGTAATCAAAATTTCTTCCAAACATGGCAGAAAAGTGGACTGGGATTAAAGAAGACTCTGAGAAAGTGACTCACTAAGATTACCCACAGATTAAAGACCATATAGAGCAGCAGAACAGATGAGACTTTAAGTACAATCAGGCTCCCAAGCAGTGAGAAAGCTGAACACAGCAGCAAGGAAAACAAAAATATGAAGGCAAAATAAGAATACTAACTAGGCTGTATACATGCACATGGTCTCTGGCCTGTTCCATGACTTGGTTAATAACAGGCTCTCTCTCTGGTAGTTCTTTTCTATTTGGTGGGGGGGGGTACCAAAGATAGAACTCAGGACCTTGCACTTTTAAAACAGGTGGTGGCACCACTGAGCTAAATCCCTGGTCCTTGGCTGCTGCTGAGCCCACTAGGAGACGCTGTTGACAGTTGCAGCTCCTTAGTTTGAGAAAATAAACATGATGATTGTGATGACTCCTCCTTCTGAGCTACCCTGGCTTGCTCTCTGCATATGAGCTGACACCCAAAGCAAAGGGGATTTTCCTTGGCTACCATCACTGCCAGAGGCATTTGGGCAAAAACTGGATTGGCCCAAAATGCCTTGGAAAAAGCTACACACTCAACTGTCTAGACATTTGTAGATTTTAAAAGGGGCCCCAGCACAGGGAGATGTTTTTTGCACAACTGCCTACTTTCCAGGTGGCACCCAACCAAATCCAGATGATGCAGATCACCCCTTACATATTCATATGTCTTTCAAATTTAAATTGTTAAAGGATCTTAGACAAAGTGTTACTAGTAATGATGCCCAGAGTCCATTTATGGCAGGGCTCTTGGAGAATGTCCTAGATTCATGTTGTTTGACTCCTTATAATAGCAAACATCTGGCAAAGACATGCCTGTCTCCTACTGAACTTCACTGGTGTGCATCCTCTGGTGTCACCCAGTCTCAGGGTCAAGTTCTTAGGAAAGACATCAGCACCAATAAATATGAAGGACCCTCACAAATAATAACACGGAGACGAGGGTATACTTGTGTTTTAACAGACAATGGGTCAACAAGGTGCCTGCCATCCCAGAATGAACATCCTTGGTGGGAGTCATGGGAGGTGTGGAGATGCCACCTGGCCACTTGGCCACTGAGGGCTTTCATGAGGGTGAGTCCGTCAGATGAGCCATGTTCCCTGAGAACATCAACAACACCACTAAGGCCCACCCATCCAAGGATGGCAGAAGGGAGAATCATACTGTGGAGAGATCTTAAAGGAACAGCTCCTGAGGCCAAAGCAATGGTTATGAGGCAAA